GTCCCCAGAACATTACCTGGGTCTCTGGATTATCAGTCCAGCAATAATACCAATAGGCAATTGCTTCCATTTAGATGCAGGGATGGATGGTATAGATAGGTAGGAAAATAAAATGAAGAACTATAGCTGCTAGAGATCTGAAACACACAAAAACTGAAATTGCTGGTGAAACTCAGCATGTCTGGTAGCATCTGTGAAAAGAAAACAGAGTTAATGTTTTAAGCTGAAATGACCTTTCCTCAGAATTGAAGTTCTAGTTAATTTTAAAGGCTTCTATTAGAGACCCAAGTTCTGCTAGTTGTGCCAATTTATCTCCATGTATACATCCCCATTCATTTTTCCTCCCATCTTCCACCCATATCCACACTGTGGATTACCACTTACTATTCTCTGGATCCATCTACATAGGGCATCACATCTGCTTCCTGCAGTGGTTCCTGGCTTCCTGTATCAACACAGTCATCACCCTGCCATAAATCACATACATATTCCTTGCTTACTCACTTGATTTGTCTATTTTTAGGAAGTAGTACACTTTCCTATTGTGCCCTTCCAGCATCAGATACTGGTTTCAATTTGTTACAGATGCAGACTTGGTATAATACTTGTAGCCTGATCAGCTTTTTCACTTGCCTGCCTTTTCCAGCACTCCTTAGATTGTTGTGGTGGATCACCAGGCTGCCAAACTTTTATTTTCATTTTATCAATCAGGTTCCTATGCTTTTCTGAGATAGAGAGACACTGTTCTTTCAATTGATCCCATTCCTCAGCTCCGGGACATTTAGCACAACCATCTTCAGCTGCTACATCAATGACCTTCCCTTATACCAGATGACTTGAACCATGAGTACTGGGTGGCATAGTGGCTCAGTGGTTAGCAATGCTTCCTCACAGCACAAGGCATCTGGGTTCGATTCCACTGTCTGTGTGGAGTTTGCACATTCGCTCCTTGTCTACGTGGGTTTCCTCAGGGTGCTCTGGTTTCTTCCCATAGTCCAAACATGGGCAGGTTAGGTGGATTCGCTATGCTAAATTGCCTATTGTGTCCAGGGATGTGCAGGCTAGGTGGATTAGCCATGGGAAATGCAGGGTTACAGGGATAGGTGGTGGAGGGGGGTTGGACTGGGTGGGATGCTGTTCGGAGGGTCGGTGCAGACTCGCTGGCTGTTTCCATGCTGTGCGGATTCTGCAATCCTATAAACAGAAGTGGAGATGTTCACTGATAGTTGCACAATGTTCAACACCATTCGCAACTCTCTGTACTTCTGGTAAGATGGCGGTGGAGTCGGACTTCTGAGCCTGGGGATTGTCCGCATTTCTTTTAGTTTTTTTTCTCTTTTATTGTACTTACCTCTTGAAGAGCTTAGTTGTGGTAACAGCATTGGTGACAGTGAGCGAGCCTAGAGTGGACTCGTGGCAGCAGCATCAGGTGAGTTTGGGGTCCTGGTAGCTTCTGCCTAAAGAAGTCCTAGCACTGACTCATACCTGCTGTGGTGGAGGCAAGTTTGGGTCCCCGGCCGCAATTCTATCCAGTGCAGATTCACGGAGGCAATGGCAGAGATGAGTTTAGACCTGGTACAAGACCTGGTGGCATTGGCAGCAGCTGTATTGGCGAGGTGAGACTTTAGTGGACTCACGACAACAGTAAAGTTGAGTTTGGGCTGGTACAGTAACTGGTTGTATTAGTGGTGTCTGCATTGGCGAGGTGTGGCATGAACTCATAGTGGCGAGGACATTGGTGAAGGCAAGATGGCACCAAAGAGTGGTGACTTTCATTCCAGCAGTAGCAGCACATTAAAGGGGACTCATGCCTGGCCACCAGGCCCGTTGGCAGAGCACTTAACAAGAAGGACTGTAGAGTCGAACACTTTTTCTTTTTTTCTTTATTTTTCTGCCTTTATATTCTTTGTTTTGGTTCATATTTATTTTAAGATGGCATTGAAGAATAATGATACGATACAACATTTTTCATCATATTTTGTCACAAAATATACATGACAATAATTAAATCAATTTTATTAACTCCTCAGAAACCAAAGCAGTTCAATGTTCAAATGCAGCAAAATTCAGACATTATATTGGTTTGGGTTGAAAAGAGGCAAGTAACATTTTTACCACACAAGTGCCAGATAATGACCATCTTCAATAAGATAGAAGCTAACCATCACTCCTTGACATTCAATGGCATTACCATCACTGACTCCCCTATCAATAGTTTAGGGGGTTACCATTGACCAGAATCTCAACTGGACTTACCATATAAATACAGTGGCTACAAGACCAGGTCAGAGGCTAGGAATATTGCAGCAAATAACTTACCCCGTGTCTCCCCGGAGCTTGTCCTCCATCTATAAGGCGCAAGTCAGAAGTGTGATGGAACACTCTTCATTTATTCAGAAGAGTGCAGTTCCAACAATACTGAAGAAGTGTGACACCATCCAGATCAAAGCAGCTTGCTGGATTGGCACCATATCCACAACCTCCACCGCTGATGCTCAGTAGTAACCATTTACAAGAGCACTCCAGAAATTCACCAAAAATCCTTAGACAGCACCTTCCATGCCCATAACCACCTAGAAGGATAAGTGCAACAGATACATGGGAACACCACCACTTGCAAGTTCCCCACCAAGCCTCTCACCATCCTGACTAGGAAATATACCACCATTTCTTCACTGTCGCTGGGTGAAAATCCTGGAATTCCTTCCTCAAGGATATTGCGGGTCTACATACACCACACGGACTGCAACAGTTCAAGAAGGCAGCTCACTACCACCTTCTCAAGGGCAGCTAGGGACAGGCAATAAATGCTAGCCAGCCAGCTACACCGCATCCCATGAGATACAAAAAGATCCTCAATTTCTGCTTTACCACCTGCCATTACCATATTGCAAGATATTTCATATCCAAACCATATTCTTAGGGAGCCTCACGAACAAGGATGCCTATGTCCTGAACTTAACTCATTCACTTGCTCTATGCCAACTTGTACTTTGAGAAGTCTTTTCCTTCTCTGGAGTTTATTTAAACTTTGTCCCTGAATTCAAATAAACTGCACCTGCACGCCCAAGGCTTCCTGATGCACCCTGGATTTCTCGAATCACTTTAAATATGCTGCTCAGGCGGCTTTTACCTCATGCTGTTGCACCCTGCACCTATCCGTTTGGTCTTTACCTCATTCCGTTGCACCTGGGGCCTACCTGATCTGCCTTTTACCATCCTTCCAAAATCAACCAGAGTCTTAGGTCTAAGATTCGAGTCTACCCTACTGGGCCGCTCTAAGAGCGACCTCTTCGGAGGCAGCAACAACTCGGAGGTGGTGGAGTTCATTTAAGCAAATCAAGTCATTTCTTACAAGCAGTTACCGGTAAATGCAGGGAGAGCAATTCTAGGTAGACACACAGGAATATCGAACTCACTCTGATTCATGAGTACGAGTTACAGCTTTTTATACACTGAAATAAACAACTTGTCTAGCAATCATCAGAAGTTTATCTCCACCCCCCCTTTCTAGTGTGCGCATTCCCTAATGCACATCACATGCTCTCATTTTATTTTGATAATTTAGTCAGAGTTTGATAATTTAGTCTGCTACCTACTTTGTCAGCTATTCTGTCCTATCGTCCTGTATAATCTCGTCAGCCAGCTACTTAAATGGTCAAGGTGGATAGTCCTGTGGTCTAAATGAAATGTCAATTATTTCATATCTATTCTACTGTACTTATGTATGTGTGTATGGGAGAGTCTTCCCTTTCAGTCCCCTCTGTTGGCCGATGGCCAATCCATGGCCCATGGGACAATGTATGTTCAGAGAGATATTCCTTGTTCCTCCTTTACAGTGGGTAGGTTTGATGGGGGACTGGAAATCTTATCTTTGAAAATGGCTTTGCTAATTAGGAGAATGAGCTCTTCCTTGGTAGCAACCCACTTCAGTATCATTTTCAATACAACCATTAGATTATTAAAATAATTAGCACAAGCAATTGCAAAATAGCGAGCACATGGGATACAATACAAACCCATGGATGTATGTTACCATTTAGTCCCCAGTTCCAAATCCTGAGCCACCAGGTTTTGGATTGTAGTACACTCTTAACAGTCTCTTTAGCCTAATGGATTTTGATAGATGCATTGACCCATTCATGTTCCAATTGCTTTGCTTCTTCTGCCAACTGCTCCCACGATGTACATAGACGTGACATCTGGGGAATCTTTGCTCGGGCACATATCACTGGCATGCCATAGCCCTTGACCCATGTAATATCACAGTTCTCACAATGATGCAGGCCACAGACAGGGGTGATGCAAACAGCATCTTCAAGGCACAGGAGGATGTCTCAATGATTGCTGCAGAGCTGAATGTCAATGGCCTACGTCTGATTGTGTTGACGAATGGTAAACTGAGCTCCATTTCGGAGAGATGCTTGGAGGGTTCCATTTCGAATGCCCAGGTCATGGATATTCAGGAGGCTGTAAGTTTCTTGCATGTTGTACGGAACATGCAAAAGTAAGGTGATGATCTTTTAGCTTAAACGGCTGTCCTGTAGTCAGTAAGCATGAAAGATGTCTGAGACCCTGAGCACTCTTAGTATTTGTCCAATTAGCCAAATGTTCATTGGTTATTCAGGTGGGGACCAAATTATTGCAAAGTGCCAGTAGTTGCAGCTGGACATCAGCTAAGGCCAGTAACGCAATAAAGGAGCATAGCTCAGCCCTCTGGATTGCTGTGGTGTTGTCGCTAATTTGGTCATTAAGCTGGTTGATAGACTGCTGCATAGGCTTGATCAGGGTGATGGTGTGGATGCTGATTCCTGCTCCGAGTACTGAGGTTTGTGGTGAGTTGCTGAAGATTGAGGTTGTCTTGTAGCAGGTAACAGATTTTTTCTTGTAATTGGTTAAATTGCTCATTGAGGGCTGCTAGATCAAGGGAGTTAACAGATATCACTCCTGCTGCATACCCAGCTCTTGCCATTTCAGCAAGTCCTCTTTTGGTTCGTCTATTTTCTTGGTCCAACTAAACTACGAGTCTTTGTTGAAGAATATCTGTTAGCAGAGAGTCAAAAACAGTTTTTTTGTGCAAGGAGTGGGCAGCATCAGGTTGATCTGGATCAAGAGATGATTCTTCTTTATCTGGGGGGTTAAAAACATTTGGGCTTCTGTTTCATCTGAGACTAGGCCATTACCCAGTGTATAGGTTATATTTTCAATCACAAGTGGGGCTATCGGGGGGGTTGGTTTAGGTATGGATGGTTTCAGTCATTGTCCTACTTGAATCTGGGTACTGCTTTCTAGCAGTACAGGAGTGCTTGTTTTCTCGTTTGGTGCATTTCCGATAATGAATGGTTATATGAAGTGCTTTAATTTTTATTACTGCCTCTACAGATAGAGTTGAGGCTTCTATAAGGGCCTAATTTGTTACAGGATGACCCATTTTTTTTTTTCCTTTTTTATAGTTCATTCTAGATATTTGATATGTCTTTACATGAATGCATTCAAATTCAAAATTCTGTTTACAGCCCCAAAGTCACTGACGATTCTTATATATTTAAATTCCTGAATGCTTTCACAGTAGTTCTTCAAATGTTGTTAACAAATGGCTTGATAGGTTGAGACTGCCTTATCCATCACTGCGTCTGCAGGCATATTCAGAAATTTGTATGCTTATCTGAAAGACAAAAAGTATCCATCCATTCCTCTTCAAGTGGTTTAAGGGGTCGGGTGAAAACTCCTGGACATAATTATGTCGACTGTCACTCTTCCTCCTGTACAGAAAAAAAAAAGTGTTGTATTTAATGGAGGAAATGCCTATCTTCTTTGTTAGATTGTATTTTTTTTTTTTTAAGCTCTTTGATTTCAGTTTTCTCAGATTTTAGAACATATCAGAATTTCCAAAGTTCCAAGTTTCTTATTACTTAGATTCTCTCACATCAAAGTACACTTACCATGAGCAAATCTTATGATCTGGAATTAAAGATTCACATATGTGTTAAAACAATATTTGAAAGTTCTCTCTGGTTAGAAAATGAAATTCCAAATGTGATAATTTTCCATTCCAAGAGACACATTTTTACCAAGCTTTACAATCCAATTCTTAAAAATCAACATTTTATCACAGATTTTTGTTTGAAACTATCACTGATAGTTCCTTAAAAGGATATTACATTAACCATACATGCCCCATACTGACACAGACACACATCCAAATCACCATGGATTCCCAAAATACAAAGGAAATTCAAAACATTCCCAGATCTCAAGCTCCAGGGAATGAAAACACAAACATAAAAGTTACACAAGACAACATTCAACCACCAACTAACACAGATGCATTCAAACCAGACCAGAGTTAACACTTAGTTCAATGAACACAGCACCAAAAGCTGATCTCTCTCCCTCACTCATTTTTTTCTTTTTCAAAATTTGTCAATTGTTTTATGCAATCACAATTAAATGCCATTAAGTGGAAACAGCTTTTCAGTTCTTTGTCCATTTTACCCACTCAACAAATTTAATCAAATCAGGCCCATATATGCCAATTAAGTTCCTTTTAATGATCAGATCATTGAATCCCTGCAGTGTGGAAAAAGGCCTTTTGACCCAACAAGTCCACACTGACTCACAGAACATCCCACCCAGACCCATCCCCCTAATCTATACTTCCCTGAGCACTATGGGCAATTTAGCATGGCCAATCCACTTAGCCTGCACATCTTTGGACTGCGGGAGGAAACCAGAGCACCCAGAGGAAACGCACGCAGACACAGGGAGAGTGTGCAAACTCCACACAAACAGTCGCCCAAGGGTGGAATTGAACCGGGGTTCCTGGCGCTGTGAGGTGGCACCATGCTAACCACTGAGCCACCCTAAAAAAGAATTTCACTAGAGACGTTATTCCCCAATTCGAACAAGTGGTTTAAACCAAGAATTGCCCATTTTTGTTCCAGAACTATAAACCCTACCAGTCCCTGCTTTACTGAGGGGACTCCATCCTCCTTTACAAAGTCAAACCGGCTGTTACTTACTTCTCAGAAGTAACTTAATCTTCACTTCACCAAAGAGGGACCCGTTCTCCTCTTGCAGAAGTAAAGCCTCTCAACTAAGGACCCTATTTCCTGTGGCCTCTAACCCATCAAAGGGGACTTAAGCCCCTTATTCCCTGGAGGGGGTTCTAACCCCTCTCCTTGGAGCTTTTATTTTTATTACTGCTGCCTGCTTAGGGAATTTAGTGGCCTCTATAGGGCCTGAATGCGGTGTTGGTGCCTGCCGAGGTCACAAATCCCCATCGCGCCCATATTGTCATGTAATCATGCACTACCCCTAATGCGTATCTACCATTCATATAAATGTTTATTCTTTTCCCTTTCGCTAGCACTAGTGCCTTAGTGAGGGCTGTCAACTCGGCTACGTGTGCCGAATGCACCCCATCTATCCTTTCTCTTGCTATTATCCGGCCTTAGCCATCTACTGCCCATACAGTGCATGGTTCTGCTTTCTTCCGCGCTCCATCTACATACAAGTTATATACTTCAGTTCCTTCTGAGCTTGGTCCTTGTCATTTTCCTGTTCCCGCCACCAAGCCTTTTACTCGGCGGCATATTGACGTCCGTCCCAACCATTTTTCGTCATTTTATTAATAAGTTTTTTGTTTGCTTCATATGTTGTCTATAAAATGGAGCCTTCTGGTCCCCAATTTAAGGGGTTTAGGATCTGAAGCAGCCATTGTTTAACCTGCACCCTTAACTTGGTTGAGTATTAAAATTTCTCGGCTTCTCAATCTCTTTCTTGCTCCAGCTGGTGGTCTCTACGCCCACTTTATCTGGCCGTCATGTGGCCCAGCTGGGCTCCTAATTTGGACTCAGTCTGGATGTTTGAGAGCTTTGTTACTTGTTTCGAGTAACCGAGGTCTGAGATCCTATTCAACAAATTTAAAAGTGTGAACGATGTCAACGTTGAATGCTTTTAATCAAAAGACTTGTGCTTTATCAAACCCGAATAATTCTCAGGCAGCACTCACTGTTCATCCCTACAGTCGGAATTCCTTAATTAATCTATCCATGGAGTCCATCACACAAAATATATTACTCACTTTCTTTTTTCTCTTTAAATAATACCCGACCTGCCTGTCCATCAGAGGTTTTTATTAGGGTTACTCTGCTGCTAGTCCGTCAGCACATTCTACTTCTTATTCGAGCTTGCTCTAGTGCTAGTCCGCCAGCGTCCCATCCAATTTGCTTCTCACACCGCCTTCGTGCTCTAGTTCATTCGGTTGTTTTAAAACTGGGTGTCACATCTTAGAGACAATTGACACGGGCTCGTTCTGCCTACAGGTCGTAAAATACAACGTACTCACCCTCATAGCAATTCCATGACAGTGGTCTCAAGCGGGACACCCTGCTCGCTATGCCAGTTTGTAAGAGCGACCTTCTCGGAGGCAGTAACAACTCAACCCAATGGTATCAATGTGGATTTCACAAGTTTCAAAGTCTCCCCTCCCCCTACCGCATCCCAAAACCAGTCCAGCTCGTCCCTGCCTCCCTAACCTGTTCTTCCTCCCACCTCAAGCCGCACCCCCATCTCCTACCGACCTACCGACCGACCGACCTACCTACACTCACCTTTACTGGCTGCATCCCTGCCTCTTCGACCTGTTTGTTTCCTCTCTTCTATCCGCCTCCCATTCTCTCCCTATTTATTTCAAAACCCCCTTCCCCTCCCCCTTTTCTGATGAAGGGTCTAGGCCCGAAACATCAGCCTCTCTGCTCCTATGATGCTGCTTGGCCTGCTGTGTTCATCCAGCCCTGCACCTTGTTGTCTCAGAGGTGGAGGAGTTCGTTTAAGCGAATCGGGCGGTTTATTACCAGCAGCTACCGGTAAATACATGCATAGGAAAAAATTTTAACCCTTTGATCCCTTAAAGTCCAAACAAAACTTAGGTGTGTTTATCTAAGCAGTTATTCATGATTGCATGGGAGATGTATGCATCAAAAATGGCAACTAACTCTCTGATTTGCTACAAAACAATGGTTTTATACTAATTTTACAGATAACAGTTTGCTTGTAAAAAGGTTACATACTCATATCTCTGCTGAATAGTATTCATTCTGCTCTACATTGCAATTAGTACACATAACTAAGTTATCCAATCAAGTTGAAATCAGTATGCATGGTGATATCCAATCAAATCGTATGTGTTTATGAACATATTATTTAATCAAACTGTTACATATTCACAAGTATATTATCCAATGGAATTATTACATGTTCACATCTTGAGTGTAAGTATGTACTTTGGGATTATCAAAACTCCTTACTATCCTTTTACACCCTTTAAGTGGTAAGCTCAGAGAGGTCATAATATTGAGATTGTAGACACGCTCGTCGAGCCAGTGGGTTTGGGTGCAAATGTTTCGTCACCCTGCTAGGTAACATTGTCAGTGTGCCTCCGGTGAAATGTCGGTGTTCTGTCCTGCTTGTTATTTATATGCCTCAGTTTGCTGGGGTGGTTGGTATTTCTTCCGGTTTTTTTTCTCAGTGGTTTGTACTTAGGATCTAATTCAATGTGTTTGCTGGAGGAGCTCTGGATGGAATACCAGGCCTCCAGGAATTCCCTGGCATATCTCTGTTTAGACACGCCAGGGAATTCCTGGAGGCCTGGTATTCCAACAAGAACTCCATCAACAAACAAATTGAATTAGACCATGTGTACAAACCACTGAGAAACAAAACCGGAAGTAATACCAACTACCACAGCAAACTGAGGCATATAAATAACAAGTGAGACAGAACACCGACACTTCACCAGAGGCACACTGACGATGTTACCTAGTAGGGTGACGAAACATTTACAAACAAACCCACTGGCTCGGCGCGCATGTCTACAACCTCATCCACAACCTGAGCTACAAATCTTCTCAAAACTTTAAAGTATCATAATACTGAAGAATACTTTTGCTGGTAGATAAATCACTTTTGAGAGATTGAAAAATACATTGGTGATCTTCCTGTCTTATGTATGGTGCATTTCGAAGCAAATTTTGAAGAGGAGATACATTCCAAATGTAAAATTCAGAATGTTCAGAGAGAAGAAGTTGAAACCAAAACACCTTTTTAAGTCACATTTGTTTTGTGGTGTAGGCATCTTTTGTACACCCGTTTTGGTAAGATCAGGTTTAATACCATTTGAAGAATATACTAATCCAGAGATGTTGATTTGGCTCAAGCTGATTTGATATTTTTTGCTGTTGAAAACAAGAATGTTTTCTTGCCATTAATGAGGGTTTGCTTCATGGCCATGTTTAGGTTTCCTGAGAATGCAATGTCATCTGCAATACAGAAAGAACCTGGTAGATTCTCCACAATATGATCCATATGTTGTTGGAATATATCTTCACTAACAGACAATTCAAATGGCAATCTTAGAAAACAGTGTCAACTAAGAGAGGTTCTAAAAGTGGCCAGACTTTCGTGAAAGATTTATGGACCAAAATCCATTCTAGTCATTAAGGTTAGAGAAACGCTGTGTTTAAAAAATTTAGGATTTCGTTCTTCCAGAGTATGAATCTTATGAAGTCATCACTTTAATGCAATGTTTGGTCACCTTGGATCTAAACATATGGAGAATGCCACTTTTCAAAACACAAGTTATGGAACTGCACCAATGCTTAACTTTACGAATGATGTCACTTAGTAGCATGAAATTCAATGCAAGATGGTGTATAGGATGGGCCGAAGGGTTAAAAGCTAATAATGATATTTGACAGCTGCATGACCTTGAATGAGTCCTGTGAACATTTCTTTACAGGCCGAAGACATCACCAGCAGCTTGTTTTTTCTGTGGCTGTGTTTTCTGTAACAGACAGTAGTTTTTTTTCTGCTGTATCTGTTTACTTTGTTCTGGCTGTTTAGTTACACTGTATAAGAGAGACAGAGATTTGTTCCAAGTCCCTGGGCTTCGCTGCAGCTTGGAATCATGAACAGTGCCAGGTACGAATCTAAGCCTCCAGACCAACCAGAGATCGAAGGGTCCCCAACAGGCAAAGTGGTGTGGGACTTGTTGCTCTTTCTCTTTTCTTTTCCATTTGTTATTACCACTATATTCATTAATATTACCACCATAATCATTATTACTTAATAAGCATTCATATTTAAGCAAACTGCTGTTGCCGAGCCTTCTCTTAACTATATTTAACTGAATCTGAAAAGAACCACTTGGATGCACTCTGTGATCCAATCAGATGGGCTTACCTGAATGTGAATACTATGCTTATAAAGATGGCCAGTGGTGGGTTAGGCATCATTCTTCAGAAATTACAGGTAGAATCAAACTGGTCTGGATAGACATTAGAACTTAGATTTGATATTGAGGTCTACAATCTTTGGTGTTGCAAATAATGCATTGGCTCTGTTGAGGATCTTGATATGTAGATCTATGCAGACCAGAGATAGAAGGTTCCACTGAATCGACAATAAGAAATGTTTCAGATATCCAACAAAGGGACAAATTGACATTTAAGATTGATAATGACAAAGCATGGGATTTCAGGCCTGTTGTAAATATACAGATCATGTGTGTACATCACTATACTATATTCGAGAAATTGAAACATTTTGTGTAAGACGTATAAAGGGCTAATATTTGCACGTACACCAATACTAATGTTGGCATATAGTGCACATTGTTCATTCTTTTTGAAGCATATTATTTGGATGGAAATAAAGGCTTCAGCTTTTGTGATGGTGTTCATGTCATGTGTCAAATTGGCCACATCATACTATCTGACTGAAGTCTGCAACTGTAACCTCTGCGGTCATCTCTTGGACTTTTTAACATGCTGGTGTGCTTGGTTGCGAGTTTGGAAATGAGTTTGAAATTGCTCCTTGATTGTTCTTTTTTCCTTCACATGCAGCTGTGGAGAATTTTGTGCTGCACTTTGGGTTCCTCAGAACACCAGACATTTTGCATTATTGTAACTTAATTTTTTCTCATAGAACATAACTTTCGGATGGCACAAAATGTCAGACAATGTTTTGATGAATGAGAAAATTTACATTTCGTGCAAGATTTGAATGTTTGCTGACCTTGCAATAGCCTGAAATAGTTGTTGTAGTGTCAAGCACTTGAAAATGCTGTTAGCTTGCTACAACTGTTTTGAAATTTTGTCCCTCGTTTGTTAGTAAGTCGATGGTATAGTCTTTCTGCTTGTCTGAAGTGTTTCTCAGAAAGATTTGCTTGGTGCAGAGGCAATAACCATGGGTATCTATCTTATTAATTAGTCCTGTATGCAGTACCTCATTAAATGCATTTTGGAAATGCCAAAATATATCTACTGGTTTCCCTATTTGTATCCTGCTGGTTACCTCCTTAAAAAGCTGTAATAAGTTTGTCATAAATGATCTTCCCTTCATGAAGCCATGTTGACTGTTTGATTATATTATGTATTTCTAAATACTCTACCACTATACCTTTTATAATAGACTCTAACATTTTCCCAATTACAGATGTTGACCTAACTGGCCTATAGTTGTTTATTTTATCTCTCCCACTTTATGAATAAGGGGATTATATTGACAGCTTTCCATTCTTTGGGACTTTTCCAGAATCTATGGCTTCTTGGAAGACTACAGACAACGCATCCACTATCTCTGTAGCAACTTCCTTTAAATTCCTAAGATGCAACGCATGAGGTCCCGAGGACATACTGGCCCCATTAGGTTTTCCCATACATTTTCTCTAGTGATAGTTATTGTGTTTATTGTATTGTATTTGTGCCTGTAGCATCTTGATTATTTAGTATTATTGGATTGCTATTAACGTAATTTATCATTAACCCTGGTGCAAAGTATTTAATAAAGTTCTCTGCCATTCCATTGTTCCCCATTATTATTTCCTGTCTTGTTCTCTAAGGGGACTATGTACACTTTAGCTTCTCTATTACTTTTTTATATATTTAAAGAAGCTCTTACTGTCTGTTTTTCATATTACTAGCTAATTTTCCCACATTGATTTTCCCCCTCTACTTCATTTTGGTCATTTTTTGTTAATTTTTAGAAGAACTTTCCTGATCATCTGGTTTACCACTAACCTTTGGCACACTGTATGATTTTTTTTCTTTCATTTTGATACATCCTTAAACTTTCTTAGTTAACCATGGTCACTTTATCCCCTTCCTGGAATCCATCTTCCTCACTCAGGTGCATTTTTGCTCCTATCCCTGTGTAATTATTGTCATTTAAGTTTAGCACTATTCTCTCCCAAACTGAATGCTAAATTCTACCATGTTATAGTCACTGTTTCCTAGTAAATCTATTATTGTGTGATAACATGATAACCCTCCCTGATTACACATGATCAGATCCAAAATGGTCTGATTCCCTGATATTTTGTCAACTTATTGCCGAGGAAAATGTCCCAACTACGCTGAATTATTCCTTGTGGCTAACTTTGCCAATTTAATTTTCCTCATCTATATGAAGATTAAAGTCATCCATGATTAATATCTTGCATTTTCTATATGCCCCCATGATCTCCAGATTTACTGTCTGTTCTAGAAAACAGCTACTGTTAGAGGCTGAGAGACAACTCCCACCATTGTCTTCTTCCTCTTGTATTTTGTACCTCCACCGTATGTATTCGACATCATCCAATCCAAGATCATTTCTTGCGATTCTGCTTAGTTCATCTCCACTAACAAAGGTACCCTACTGTGAATTTTGAACTCTAGTGAACTTTATAGTGAGATTATCTGTAGCAAATGAGGGGTTAATAATAACAAAGAACCCCGAGAATGATCGCTTCGCGTCTTACAGGGTAGTTATAAGTACTTGTATTCTGTCATTTACTCATTAATGTTACATATATATATTTAATACTTGCTCAATTGAGTATCATCGCCCGTTTTTCTTATGCTCGTCATGAAGACCAATGTTTCCTGCTACGTCTACTCCTTCATCATGGGTTTGAGTTCCAGCAGAATTATTTTGGCTCAGATCAGAAAGTCTGCTGACATAGAGTTTGAAACAAATTTCTAAAACAGAAAGTGCCACTGCAGTCACATCAATAGAATACCTACCACAATTCAGCGTTGTTCTGAAATTGAACGGTTGTAAACCGATTAACTATCACTTCAACAGAACGCAAAGTATTCGCGTAACCAAAATTCCCCTCAAGACGTTACAGTTTATAGTATGTTCCCGTGTGAGGGCAGCTAAATGAACATTATGCTCGCCAAAGATATACTACAATTGAACGTTTGTGCGAAAAAGATAAAAAGGGATTAAGGAACTAAAACGCAGCAAACAGCGGAAATTCACCGCTCCAAACAGGACAAATACCGTTTGCCCATTGCCGTTTCAGTGGATGCCATTTGTGGCGGCGCACGTGCCAGTTGAAAACCATAGCCTGTCACACGCGCGCCTTCAAGGATTGCGCCTGCGTTCTGGCACAAGCCAATGGCGCGCGGCTCTTTTGTCGTTAGGCGTCAACGGCGTCGTTGTTGTTTTGCCTGTAGTAGAAGGTGCTTTCGCGTCGTTGTGTCTTTCTGTCGCGCGCCTGTCCCTGCCTCCCTTCACTGCTCCATTCCGTACATGGTCCTTGCTGGAGACCGGATCCGCCGCGTGCTGCTGACGGCGGTTGGAGCAACGGGCGAGCGCGGTAATGGCGTCGTGCTCTTCTGAGAAGGATATCGCCTGCGAGGCCCAAATAAGTCCCTCAGCGGAGATTGAGCTGGGTGATAAGAGCTCTGGAGAAAACAGCTGTGTTCGACCCCTGACTTCGTCCCCTCGGCCGGTGAGAGCTGCTCAGCGGGAGATGAAGCGCAAGCCGGCGGAGTCCGAGGAGTTGGAAGAAGCGAATGTTCTGCCGCCGGTTTACGTGTCAACTGTCAAATTCACCCCAGAGAGCAGGATGAACCTGTACTGTGATCAGATTTTAGCTTCTTGCAAGGTACAAAGTGGCAGTGGAGGGAAACGGGATTTAGGCACCTAGGACTCTGCGGATTAGGGTTAAGGCATAAGGAAAAAATGGGCTGCCCAGGTGGCCAAAGATGAGAAGCAAAAAGTGCAGCCAGAGTGTGATGCTGATGGGATGGAGGAATAATTATAACTTTGTTTTTTTGTTCTTGGCTCCCACCTGTTGTGCACTTGCATGCCAACCTGCAAACTTGAAAAAGTTGGCAAATTATTCTGAAGACACATGACAGTTTTGAACTACTCAATAATATTGGAATTTAATTCAGCCTACTGGAGCATAGTTGTAATTCTTAAGACAATTGGAGTTGTTATGTTATGAAACACACAGAGCAAAGAATGTTGCCCTCTGTTTCTCATCTCACCCATGCCTGCACCTACTGTTCAGAAAGTAAGATGGTATGAACTGGAATTTATGGTTTCAGGATAATTTTGTGTAGAATACAGACTCAAATTTTCCAATATGGGAAGAGGCCTACGACTCAAGTTATATTGCTGATGCGCATTTGAATCCTCACCTATGGAGATGATTCTGGCATGTTTTGTTGAGGAAATAGCAAGGGCTGCAGATGCTGGAGTCAGAATCAATACAGTATGGACTAGAAAACACAGTGGGTCAGGCAGTATCAGAGGAGTAGGAGAGTTGATGTTTCGGGTTTATACCGTTCATCAGGACTGGGGAGGGGGAAGGGAGCACACAAATAAATGGGGGGGTGGGATAGTGATAGGTGCATACAGGTAGAGGGTAGTGGAGATTGGTCAGCGAGAAGGGTGGGATGGATAGGTGGGAAAGAAGATGGACAAGTTGTCAGGTCAGGGAGGTGGCGATGAGGGCGGGGGTGGAGAGATTTTGTGAATACCTTCAGGGTGGAGGAGATCACGAGTGGGTTGCAGTGGCAGAGAGATTCAGTGAGATCTTTTCGGAGGGAGGAGGACAACTTCTTCAAGGTGGGCATTCTTGGAAGAGGGTTTTCAGTCACTTGGAGATAGCAAGAACTGCAGATGCTGGAGTCGGAGTCAATACAGTATGGAGCTGGAGGAACACAGCAGGTCAGGTAGCATCAGTGGAGCAAAAAGATTGATGTTTCGGGTTTGCACCCTTCACTGTATTGACTTCAAATTTTTTAAATTCCTGAACAAATACTGCTAATGTGCATGCCCATCTTCAGGATTCAAATGCGCCTCAGCAATATAACTTGAGTTGTAGGCCTTTTCCCAAATTGGAAAATTTGAGTCTGTATTTGACACAAAATTATCCTGAAACCACAAATTCCAGTTCATACCATCTTGCATTCTGAACAGCAGGTGCAGGCATGGGTGAGATGAGAAACAGAGAGCAACATTCTTTGCTCTGTGTGTTTTATAACATGACAACTCATAACAACTCAAATTGTCTGAAGAGAAAGTTTGTAAACAAGGACATGCTAAAACAGGAGTCAAATGTTTCTAATCCAGGAAATTTCTTTCTGTAGATATCAAGATAACATAATCAAATTCATGTTGAGTTAGTTATCAATTTTATATTTAGGAAATGAATTGTTTCTTAAATGCTTTCATGTCTTCACTCTTCACTGGAGATACTAATTTATGATGGGGACTATTTCAGAAGCACCAGACAATCTTAAGTAGAATATGCAAGAATTAGTGGCAGGTTTAGGCCATTCAGCCCTTTGAGCCTGCTTCACCATTCATGAGATCAAGGCTGACCTGATGGTGGCCTCAACTCCAATTTCCTTACCTCAATAGGTGACCATTCTTCACGAGGTAAGAAATGAATGCATTCAGCCTGTTTGACCACAGTGTAATGCCATTTATTAAATCTTATCTCAGCTTGGCTCACGGACACACAAGTATATTTTTTGGGAGGCATCAATGCAACAAAGTAAGAATTGGATTGGTACCGTGGTTCAGTGGGTAGCAGTGCTGTCTCACAGGCTAGGGACCTAGGTTCACTTCCAGCCTTGGGTGACTGTGTGCAGTTTGCACATTCTCCCCGTGTCTGCGTGGGTTTCCTCCCACAGTTCAAAGATATGCACGTTAGGCTATGCTAAATTCGCCCCATGTGTCCAGGGATGTGCTGGCTAGGTGATTAGCCATGGGAGAATGCAGGGATAGGGTTGGGTGATGGGTCTGGGTGGGATGCTGTTAAGAGGGTCTGTGTGGACTTGATGAGTCCGATGGCCTGCTTCCACACTGTAGGGATTCTATGATTCTATACTGAACAGGAAACTAAGAGAGGAATGTAAACTTCATGTCAGATACAGGCATCAGACACTATGGGATCAATATTCATACTAGGACCTTCCTGCTAAGATTCAAAGTGAGAGTGAATTTCTACAGATATTCTCCTGCTTCTCAGCTATAGCTTGACTGAATGAGTCATGAGACCATGGAACTATTGAGTAAATATTATTTGTGTTGTGTTCTTGGTTTAATTTGCTGAATTACAGAGGATGATGGGAGAACTCCACAGAAATTCAATCTGTTAAATTTGTCTTTAATTCAAAACCAACTTCCAATTTAAAAAAAAACTACAAATGCTGGAAATGTGAAAAGAAGTCTGTGCGTGTCAGAAATAAACAGATCAGTCAGGAGCTGTAAAGGGAAGAAAATTGAAGAAATTCACCAGACTTTGTAAAGGTGCCATCAGATTGGGAATTTGTTGATGTAATACTATTTCAAATAACATTTAAGACAGAGTTAAGGAGAACCTTTTTCTCAGAGTTGTGAGCCTTTGGAAGTCTCTTCCTCAGCAAGTGGTTAAAAACACAGTTCTTGATTATTTTTAAGGCAGAGGTAGATAGATTCTTGACAAGGCAGTGTAAGGTTATCAGGAGTAGGTGATAATGTGGATTAATCAGATTGGCTATGATCTTCTTGAATGGTCCAGAGGCTGAAGGGCTGACAGGCCCAATCCTGCTCCTAATTCATATGTTTATAACTCCTTTATTCAAGAAAGGAGGGAGACATAAGGAAGGAAACTACAGGTCAGTAAGTCTAAAATCTATCATACGGAAATGCTGAAATCAATTATTAAATAAGTTACTGTAGGGCCTTTAGAAAATCTTAGGGAACAGTGGGGTTGATTTCCAGTGCACTCTCCTAATGAGTCAAGGCACTAACAACTTACATTGTCATAAAAAGATTAAGAAGTTGTGATGCTACACTTCTGTTAAAAACAGACAAGTGGAAGAGAAGACAAAATTAGGAAGGTGAAGTTTTTATACATTAATACTAAATATGTGGTAATCATGAAGAATCATGTTATAGTTACACTCAGTAAGTGGTAATTTGTCTTCATGTGTTTATATCTATATGCTGTTAAGACTGTCAATTCTAGAGTTGCCTTGAGCATTAAATGGTGTAATTCGTTGTAGTCTATTGTAGTGTGATTTGCTGTGGTTTAGTGTAATGTGGTCTAACTCCATCCACACTGTTATTTATGTCCAGTGATTCACAGCTCTGTGATATCATCACAAGGTTGTTTTAGCATACTGGAAACCTTGTTCACCCTGCCCCCTCATGCATTTCCCTGGAAGAACATTGATTAACAGTTATATACTTAGTTAAATAAATTACCTAGATTACATTTTACAACATTTATTCAATATTTTCTTCCTAGGCTCTCCTAGTTGATCAAAAAAGTCTATTACCGGGTATAGAAATACTTGAAGTAATATTGAGAACTTGCATTTATTCTGCTAGCTTACAGTAAATTGATCTAGCACTCCGATAACAGACCTTGAAAGGTTAGTATGATCCAAGGGATCTGTCTGATATACTGTCGCTTTGTGGTACACCATTGGTGGGTCTCATTTTGTTTCAATTGAGCAGGTGGGTTCTGTATTAAGGATAGAAACTGGGTAAGCAGGAACAGTGAGATGACCTGTTAACATTGCATTGGATAGCTTCTTCATTTGTTCCTGAAAGACACATTGATGGTGCCCAGGCAGTTGCATTCTAACAGTACCGTTCCTTTGAAGGTGCCTTGTCCCGACTGGTTGGTTGTCCTTGTCCCAGTGTTGTTAACATTTCGGTGTGGTAAAATTTATTATGTGCTACAGGGAGGATAAGGCAACCATGGCTTCCAATAGAAGTCAGAAACAGCATAAAAGTGAAAGAGAAAGCGCACAACATGGTGAAAATTAGAGGAAGCCAGAGGATTGGGAAGCCTGTAAAATCCAGCAGAGGATAACTAAAAAGGCAATAAGGGGGAAGAAGATGAAATATGAGAGTAAGCTAGATGGAAATATAAAAGAAGATTGCAAGAGCATTTTTAGATATCTGAAAAGTAAGAAAGAGGCACGATTGAACATTAGACTGCTGGAAAATAAGCCTGGAGAGGTTGTAACAGGAAACAAAGAAATGGCTGAGGAACTGAATAGATACTTTGCATCAGTTTACACAGTGGAAGACACCAGCAGCATATCAGAACTTCATCAAAGTCAGGGGATAGAGGTAAGTGTGGTGGCCATCACAAGGAGAGAGTTCTGGGGAAGCTGTAAGATCTGATGGTGGATAAATCAACCGGACATGACGGACTACACTCCAGAGTTCTGAAGGAGATAACTGGATGATTATATAGGCCTTGGTGATGATCTGTAAGGAATTCCTGGACTCAGGGAGGGTACAAGAGGACTGGAAAATGGATTCTATTAAGATTAACATGCAGGTTCACTTGACAGTTAAGAAGGCAAATGCATTGTTGGCATTCATTTCAAGAGAGCTAGAATACAAGAGCAGAAATGTACTGCTGAGGCTGTATTTAGAATATTGTGAGCAGTTTTGGTCTCTGCACCTAAGGAAAGATGTTCTTGCATTGAACGGGGTCCAGAGGAGGTTTATAAGCATGATCCCAGGGATGAAAGGCTTGTTTTTTGAGAAGCGGTTGAGGACGCTGGGTCTGTACTCGCTGTAGTTTAGAAGTGGGGGAATCTGATTGAAACTTACAGAATGCTGAGAGGCCTGGATACAGTG